CTTTTTTGTTGTTGTCGCTGATACTGTTGTTGGAGCAAAGCCAGTCACTGATGTTGATGCAAAAGGTTCTCTTCATTTTGACTAATCTGCCGATTCTGCGCACTTTGATAATTAAATTGCTGTGTGTTTCATTACTAATGTTACTGTTGTCGATATATTTTCTTCCAAAACAGATGTGGATGAATTTCACTGCATTGCTTGGATCGTTGTGACTGCTGTTTTTGCGAGTCTCGTTGCTGTCTTTGTTGCTTTCATTATGGAGACGCGAGAATGGAATCCAACGAATCCACTTTTTGTTGCCGTTGTTGTTGTTTTTATCATCGTTGCTTGTTTTTAGGACAGTACTGCCGATATTGTTAGTTATGTCAGGTAATTTGTCGGAACGAATGCGAATGAATTCGTTTTTATCGGTTTTGTCCTCACTGTTATTTTTAAGGGTATCGCTGTCATTAAACTTTAAGTAATTCCGAATAAGAAGTATTTTCCCTTTTTTGCCGGTGTTGTTTTGATACCTCGCGATGCCACTGGTATCATAAACACGAATGAACTGCCTTTTACCATGGTCGTTATTGTCCACATTATTGTTTTTAGTGCTCTCATTATTGATGCAGTCAAAAACAATGCAGAAATCAGTGAGAATGAACGTTGTTTTCTTGTTACAGTTACTGCTGAAACAAAGTCTATCGTTGACGTTGATAGTGATGGTGCCATTCGTCCCACTCGAGATGCCACTAATAAGTAATTCTATATGGTTCCGAGTATTACTGCTAAAGCCGTTGCAGTTGTTGCATTTTCTCATAAGATGGGTAACGAAAAACTTCTTTTCATTACTTTTTCCGTTCTGGCTGCTGTTCTTCTTACTATTGTCATGTGCCGTTCTGAAATGAATCCATCTGCGCATCCAGGTATTGTCGTCGTTGCTATTGTTCTCATTGTTAGTTTCTAGGATAGTGATACAAGTGTCGTTATTTGTTTTAGGTAATGTGCCGAATTTAATATAGGTGAACTTTTTACTACATTCGTTCCCACCGCTGCTTTCAAGGATATTACTGCTCTTATTACCATCAAACACCACTACAGACCAATTAGGAATGAACCGGTCCTTTTTGCGGTTTTTATCCTCGTTCATTTGTTTCAGGATGTCGGTGCTGCTACTGTTGTTGCTCTGGGAAGATGCGTATTCGAAGTGATTGCAAATGGTAGTCTCCTCGTCACCGTTTTCTAGAATATAGGATCTGTTGTGTTTGTTGTCAAATGCATAGTGGAATTTGTAACAAAGCGACTTCTTTTTGTTATCACCGTTGTTGTTAACACTATTCTTCTCAGAAATGTTGTTGCTGTTGTTACTGTTGCAACTAGAAAGCTCGCGCAAAATTATGCTGAATAATTTTTTCTGAGCGTTGTTATTGCCTTCGTTGCTGTTCTTCAGGATGTTGATGTAGCCGCTGTTTTTGAATGGTTTGGCAAGATGAATGCGGAAAAACATCATGGTAGAGTTGCCGATGCAGCCACTTCTTTTGATACCGTTACTAGCTATGCCAAAACGAATCCTTATGCAATGCTTCTTACGGTTTTTGTCCTCGCTGTTGCTTTTGCTGCTGCTATTGCTGTAGAACATAAATTCCTTGGAGCAGTAAATGCGGATTTCTTTTCTTTTATCATTATTGTTACTATTGTTATAATTATTGCTAGAGCAAAATTTGTCGCTGTGTTCGATTCTGATGGTGCCATTCACTCCGCCTGAGTTGCCATTGCTATGCAGTTCTACAATAATATTTTTATGAACATCATTTCTTAAACTGTCGGTGTTCTTATATTTTCTACGCACAGTGATTCGGATGAAATCTGTGGCACTGCTTTTGCTCTTCATGCTGCTGCTTTCCATGATAATGGTTTTGTTTCCGTCGTCAAACATGCGATTGGAATCAATCCACTCGATTTTCCCTTTATTGCTGTTGTTGTCGCCAGTGCGGATAAATTCCTTTTTATCTTCTTGATTCGCACTTTTTATTTCGGGGTTGTTGTTGCTATTGCGGTTATCAAAATGTAAGCGGAAAAGAATGCGAATGATCCATCCTTTTTTACTGCTGATGCCATTGATGGTTTTGTTGCTGTCGTTAAATAGTAGCCAAGTAGGAAACTTAATGATCCATCCTTTACTTCCATTGCTGTAGTTGTTATCGTTACTTGTTTTCAGGATGCTGTTGCCAGTGCTGTTATCCTCGTCAAACATTATGCTAAAAATATGAATGGCATTCTTTTGATCTCTTATTTCCTCGTTGCTTCTAAGGATGTAGCTGTTGTTTCTGTCATCAAATGCTGTCAGGTTCCAGTCGGGAATTATCCACCCCTTTTCGTCGCTACTATTGTCCTCGTCACTGTACTTCAATATGTTGCTGCTACTGCCGTAAATGCAAATGCACTTCCCATTGTTATCGGCGCTGTTGTGTATGTAGATGTTGTTACTGTTGTTATCGTTGTTGCGAAGAGGTTCGCACCAATCAATTTTGATGAGCTTTTTCTCATTGTTGTTGTAGCTATTGTCGAAGAAGAGTTTGTCGCCGACGCTGATATAGATTGTGCCGTTCATTTCGTTTAAGTTACCACTGCTAGGCAATTCTACTGTTATACTGTTCCGAGTATTGTTACTAAAGCTGATGCAGTCGCAATATTTTCTCGCAATGTGGTTGAGGATAAACGTCGTTACACTGCTTCCGTTGTTCTGGTTGCTGCCGTCATGTACTCTGAAAATACGAATCGACCAGGACCACCCTTTATTGTCATTGTTCTCATCGTTAGATTTTAGAATACTGGTGCCAGTCTTATTATTCGCGTTTGGTATTATAGCGAAACGAATGCGGACGAAATTCGTTTTATTGTTTTGGTCCTTACTACTTCTTTCCAGGATGGTACTGCTATTGCGGTCCTCAAACAGTAAGCGAGAAGGACAGAACCTGAACCATCTTTTGTCACTTGCACCCTTCTTGATCAGGATGTTGCTTCTGGTATTGCTGCCTTTGCTACTATCATCAAACTTGTGGTCCAAATAATTTTTTGAGATGCTGCTTTCTAGGATGTAGCTTCTGTCGTCATGGTTGGGCTTGAAAAGTAGTATAAAGTGATCACTGATGAATTCTTCTTTGACCGTGTTGTTTTGAAAGGTGCGAACGTTGTTATCGACGTTGTTTTCCTTTAAATTTCTGCCAAAATGAATGCGAATAACCCTTTTGTTATCGTTGCTGTTGTTATTATTGTTACTGCTGTTCTTATTATCACTACGTACTCTCCCAAAATGAATGCAAACAAATTTCCCTTTAATGTAGTTGTTGCTGCTGTTTTTGAGGATATTATCGCTGTCGACGTTATGAAGCTCACGGATGTCATTGGGCGTAGAATTCTTTTGATCGTCGCTGTTGCTCTTTTTGTCTGGGCTGTTGCTAGTGATGTTGCTGCTTTTGCTGGGGATGGTGTTAAATACATCTTCAGAGCTGTAGCTGAGAATGCTGTTAACATTACCGTTGTCTCTCGATGTTCTTATCGGCGTTGTTGCTAATACAGCACAGACAGTAAGGAAAATACCGTACATTTCAGTTGCTGCCATACTTTCGAAATTCTTCAAAGTATATCCTGGAAACAAAAATTCCAAATTTTTATACAAAATTTTCTAGATTGAAAGCCGCCGTCCTTATATACGCATAGGTCACAAATACGAACAATTGAAGATTTTGGCGAGAAATTTACTAATTTGGGGAACCGGTATTTTATTTGCCCATTGAGTTAATAAACTGAGAAAATTTTAGGAAGATGTTTCATGGCAGTGAGCAACCGTGGTACTTTAAATGCAGCCTTCAGGAACGTCATGTTGATCAGTTGCATGTGGCCTTTATCAAATGATACGCGTGCAATGATGAATCGCGTACATATTTCCAACAGAACACAACGTACTTTGAGCAAAAATTTCTTGAAAATGAACGCAAAATGACAGTAGCCCCAAGCTTCTGCCGGGAGTGCAACTTTGAAGAATTAATTTATCTGTCAACTATCTTAACCACAGTTATGAGCGTCTGAAAATTTTAGCAAAATTTTTTAACTCAAGAGTCTTGCAAGATGAAGAACTTCTTGCCCTTGATTTAAATTTGCTTCCACACAAGTCTACGCCTCATGCACAAATATGTGAAAGTCAAAGCAGAAAATTGCTGGCTTCTTCTTAGCTCCGTTGACTAGAAGTGCAAAACGTATGATAATCCGGTGCACGTTATTATGTATTCAGCCAACTCGTACCGTAATAAATTTTTAACGCTATGCGCGGTTCAATATTAATAGCAAGACTGGTCGGACAATTAGTGTTTGAGCACCATTTCAGTTATATAGCTTTAATAGCTTCCGCACGTTGATTGCAACTATTGCCAAGCTGTTCGGTCCTAGGCTATGCACCTCGCCTGCTTATGTAGTATGTGCGTCACCATACGGAAGCTGACAGAGCGGTCTTTTGCTTTCTCGCGAGTACTATTCGCTAATGCGTTACGTCCAATGCTTTCAAAACGGAAAGCGACATCACCTGCCAATCAGATTTCACTTTTTAGCATACTTATATTAATCTACTACGCTCCACTCAATTAACGGGAATATGAGTTGCTTACAAAGAAACATGTATGGAAAAGAGAAGGGAATGTGAGGGATTTTAGTAAGCGTCAGCTTTTAAGAAGCATCCATCCCTTTTACACACCTGCCCCACTTCATTCTTAGTATATTTAAAGCATTTTTCCGATATGTTTGCAAAATCAAATACATTTGGTTTTCCTTAAAACTCAATTTATTTTTTTTAAGACAGTAAAATTTTGAGACAGATGGCACAGAAAAGCCTAAATGCGTTTTAGTAAGAAAAATCTTTAAAGTCCTAAATCCATATTGCTGCTGCATTTATCGTTCTTGCTGAAAATTTCGCAAAAACTTGTACCAGTGAATTTTGATTACTGTTTTCAGGCTGACGCTGCTTCCACTCTCAAATGGCTTGGCAGAATGAATGCGAATGAACTTGGTGGTGCTGATGCCCTTACTGCTATTTTCTTTTGCTATAGCTGAGCTTTGGGATAGAGTGAATCCTAATGAAATACTTTGCATTGTTTTTCTCTTCGCTGTTGCTCTCAAGGATGATGTTGCTGCAAACTTCGAATACCGAATAAATATGAGTGCGAAAAAAAAAAATTTTTCTTTGCTGTTACTGATATCGTTATTGCTGCAGCAAAGTTTGTCGTTAAGATTGACGAGTTTGCAGTGTCTTTTAAGTTGCTACAGCTACTGCTGCTGGGTTACCCCACAATAGTATTTCAGTGAGCATCACTGTTAATGCTGCTAATTTTTTTAAATATTTTATTGCTAAATTAAATTTTTGCAGAGTTTCAATATTTGGATGAAATTCGTTGTTGCTGCTCTTGCCTTTCACGTTGCTGTGTCGATTTTGTTTCCCTTGTCAAATAGCGACAAGGTAGAAATCCACTTAATCTTCCCTTTACCCTGGTTTTTGCTGTTGACGTTGCTCTCGTGGTAAATGTTTTCCATACTGATTCCAGTCCTGCTTTCTGCATTCGGTAATATGCCGAAGTAAGTTCGTTTGAGCTTTTTTTTGTTGTTTTGGCTTTTGCTGTTGTTTTCAGGGATACTACTCCTCTTGTTGCCACTAAACACCAAGTTGGGCCAATCGGGAAGGATTTGTCCTTTTTGGTTGTTGCTACCCACGTCGATGTATTTCAGAATATTATTTCTGATACAGTTGTGGCACGTGTCGTTAGGTACGTCGATGAGCTGAATGTTACTGAAATTCGCCTTATTTCCATCTGGGTTGTTTTTGTTGTTGTTTCTTAAGATGTCGTTGTTGCTGCTGTCATTGTTTTTGTCAAAAACATGGTCAAAACTGTGTGTGTAAGAAAGTATATGTCCAAGATCCCAACTGGGAATGCTGTTATTGCTACTATAATAACTTGATGGTGCTGATAGAATTGTTACTTTTGTGGCTTCTTGTATTAACATAACACAGCAAATGAGGAAAGTGTAGAAAATTACATTCACTGCCATACTGTGGATTTCTGTGAGTTGTGTCCTGAAAATAAAAAAAACCAGCTTTTTACGAAATTTCCAGATTTCAACCGCTATTATGTGCAAACACTCGCGTAAACACAAAAAGGAAAGACAGTGTTTCATAGAGCGCGTAAGTGTATGCACATGTACTGTGTGTTCAGATAAATTAGCAGCAGGACTCAAGACATTCAATTTTGAATATTCCTACAGTCATCGATCACACACAGTAGCTAAAAACTTCACGTTTTTCCACGAACTCATAAATGATATTCGGATTTTATTTTCACGCGTGGCGCAAAAAGAAAATACTGTTTTATTCGGATAATACTGTTTTATTCGGCCCTGCTATTCGGATTTTATTTTCACGCGTGGCGCAAAAACGTCTTATAAGCAGCTCAATTGACGGAGAATCTTAGATGCTCACAAAAATTTACGTGCAAAAAAAAGAATAAATGCGGAGAATTTCAATAAACGTTGGCTTTTGTGTAGAAAACGGCCTTCTTTGCACACCTGCGTCAGTTCATCCTTAAGATACTGAGACCACTGTGTCTGGTCTGTCCAAAAAATAAAATACCTTTATTCTTGCTTGAAATCTAATTTATTTTCAGGACGAACAATTTTATAATAGTTCGCATAGTAAAAACTAAAAGCTGACAGCGTTTTGAAATTGAGCAAATATGCATAATCTGGATTCATTTTGCCGCTGTTATTATCTTTTTATGCGTTTTTGCCTATATACAAATTGCAAAAACGCATATTGGGACGACCCTGTCTGTGCGTGTG